AGACCACAAACCAGTAAAACCATGACAGTGCTGCTGTCTGAAATACTGACTCTGATCACGCAGGTTTGAGACTGAAATGTGTTTATTTGTCAGCCTAAAGTCAAAGAATCCACAAGTTCTTGTCAGCATTCCCAGAATCTATTCAGTAACATTAAAAATTCCTACCATAATAATGTTGTTAAGGAAAAGCAGGTCACGTTGGTCTAGTTGCTCATTTTAGATGGAGATTAAATCTGGGAGAGAACCTTAAGCACTTTGTGGCAACGAGAGCAACAGAACAGCAATTTCTTCTCTTTTCTGACGGCCACTAAGTGAGAGTTAATTGAATCATTATCTTCCCATTAAGTGGTGATTTTCTTATCAGATACAGCTGCTGCTGACAAGAGTACCTACAGCTACCCACTCACTCTGTCTGAGCCGTAATCAGTCTCCTCAGGGAGAGCCAAATTGCTGGTGCTACCTGCAGTGACCTGCTTTTCGTCAGTCAGAACTCTTGGCACCCTTTGGGCCTGGTTTATAGACAATTATCACTTTTCGTGACTGATGATGAACAATTTAATTTCCATAAAACTCATTTTTATCTTCAGTTTAGCTTCAGTACTCTTCATCAGCTCGTCACAGTGAGTTCAGATGGGCCTGAAACCAGCTTTTAACATGTTATCTGTGCTGCTATGCAGTATTCATCCATCACTGGACCTCGTTCTCCAGTATCTTCCTAAGTTTGTTCTTAAGTGTGTTCTTGACGAGTTCTTAAAGCGCAGAACCGTTCTCACCTCTGTGCTCTTGACTGTGTGTAGATTCTGTTCTTACCCAAGAACAAACCCCACATAAGAGAACACTGGTCAATGTCAGAATCTTCATCAGAACTGCGTCGGAAATTCCTCCTTAAGGACGGCTGGTGAACGAGCTCCAATGTTTCTATACAGAATCATGAACACTCATATAACCATTTGCATGCTTAAAGCGTTCTTTGCATGGTTCTTCAGATTGACGGAGAATGTGTCGTATATGGGTCTGTATAGCACCAAAAAGGTTTTGCTTTTGATTGTAAACATTTTTGGTGCTATTTAGAACCCTTTTCAAAAAGGTTTTATGTAGGACTATAAACAAAACTTTTCACCATGTAAGGAATCATTTAATTACCTCAGTCCCAAACTTTACTAAACCATTAGTAAAGTGATTTGTGATTTGAAGTGTGATATAATTCATCTGTGGCCATGACGTAGCAGAGCCTGAGGACGAGAGAATGAAGTCGTCATTTAAATTACGGTGTGACAAAGAAAAGTCAAGGTCATGATGTCCAGTTTGAAGTACAGCATAAAACAAGACAATAAAGCTGAGATCACTATTTAGAAAGGTTTGGGAATGTAATAATTAAGTCATGGTCACTATTTAGTCAAGTTTGGGAATGAGATAATTAAGTCATGGTCACTACTTAGTCATATTTGGGAATGAGATAATTAAGTCTTCACAGTTTCTGATTTAAAGAAGGGCAAACAAAAAGATAATCCGATGAGACAAACAGAACAACTAGTAAGACGTGGGAACAAGATAAACCATGTTCACGGGCTTGGTTAAGCTTAAGAACTAGATAACTAAGTGGTGAGGCTTAGGAACGAGCTAATTGAGTAGAGGTAATTAAGTCATAGTATTAGGATCCAGTTTCCACATCTTCAAGCAGCATTATGTAACAACTTCACCTTAAATTAGCAGCTTCTTTTGATGCTACACTGACTTAGTCAGAACGGCGTCTTTGTCATTGCCGCTCCGGGCCAGAATACCTGCTACAGCACTATGTAACTTTGGAGGAGCTGCATGAGAACCTCTCACCAGAACTGTGTAACGCTTTACGGCGCCACGTCACACCAACAACTCAGCAGCTACAAGAAGAACCAGCTCGGTATTCCCAGCATGGACATCATGGCAGAGGCTGTGAAGAGACTGAAGAACAGAGGAAAAGAAAAGCGAGAAGAGCGAGAGAGCGGACAGTGAATCTCGGACTGGCTGCAGGACAGTCTCACGGCTAACGGGAAAACAACGAAACTCTGACAGCAGAGTGTTCATCCCTGCCAGTGTTATGTGAAAGACTGCGCTGTCGGCTGTAACCTTGTCTGTATTTTTCCAAATGCCAAAAGTCGTCTAACCTCAGTCCATTTCAGACAAACATGCAAAGAAATAAATTCATCTCACGCCAAAAAGTTTCGTCAGTCTGACACCAAATCAGCCTTGAGAGTTTGGACCTCCTGTAATAAAATCCTGTAATGTTTCTGTAATGTTCTGTACGTCACGCAGGCGTGTGGACGCTACAGATTACACTCACGACTGGTTGTTTACACAGAAACACAGGAATCCTGTAACGTCATATTCCTGCGTGCATGTGGAGGGGAGTCGGATTGCACAGATGGGTTAAAATGCGGAGATGAAACTTCCCTGTTGTGGAACTAATAAAGCAGAACTTAACATAACTGTAGGGGGAGCCCAAGAGCAAAAAATCCCAGTTCTCATATGATGCTGCTTTAAGGACACATTGTTTGTTATTAAGGGCAGATTTCACCAGTGCAGCTATGCAGCAGTAGATTATTCCACTTCTGGCCTTTTCTTTGAGAGCCTGAAATAAGTGGCGTCTTTGTCCTCGGTATACAAACTCAATCATTTTCCACATCAGCTGCTCCGCTGGCGCTGCTGAGGGCCGTCACAGCTCTGTCTTTTATCAGAGCGTTCTGTTCACTGCGTAAGGAGCAGGATCCCACATGAAGACACAGCTCGGGCTGTAAATGATTCAGGATCAGTCCGGCTTTATTAGACCCGCGCTGCACATATCAGAGAGAGCGGAAAGCTTGTGTACAGCCTCGTCGGACTGCTGACAGCAGGCTTCCAAAACCTTCACTTCAGAATTATGATTCGGGGGCGGCCAAGCAGCCTTTCTTTTCAGACAGAGCTTTTGATACTTCTACTGATTCTGGCAACATGGCACAACGAGGAGAAAACAAATGTGCAGTTTAAATGACTCGTTCCAGCAGGAGAACTAAGATTGTGTCTTGACTTAAGTACATCATTTTGCCTCCATCACAACAAACAGATTAAATAATTAATTGTGGTTAATCTCAGTAGGCAAATTTGCTCAGATTTGACACTAAAGAATGTGTTTCCTTTCAAAAAGCAGTGTATTGTGTTAGTGCTATATACATGGACAAAAAGAGCTCCATCAGCAAGTATTTACTACATCCAATAACTCAGTAGCACTATTTTCATCATAAGAACCTGAACATTAAGATTCTGTGGCTTTCAGAGTGAAAGCAGTTTCCAATTTTCATCACCAACAACACAGTCTGGCTGTTCCAAACAATGAGTGCATATATCATCCATATCATATATAGTCAATGAGAGGACATATACATATACACACACACACACACACACACACATATATATATATATATATATATATATATATTATATATATATATATATATATTATGTGTATATATATATATATATACATATATATATATATATATATATTATTTATGTATATATAAATAAAATACACACACACACACAGTCAGCAGTTGAACTCCTCCCTGACTGTAGTTTTGAGACGTTTTGTGGTTAAATGCATCTTCTGCTGTCTTTTATTTACATGTATTTGCCTCAACACAATGAATGAAAACGAGCCCAGTTGACATCTGTTAATGTATAACTGTGAAAGCTAACATCTGGAAAATGATTGTGGTCCGCTTTATTAATTGTGATTAGGAGATTATGCAGTAATTGTGACAGGCCTAGTGAAGGTAATAATTCACCACGTTAACTTTAACAGTTTCTACTTTCAGCAGTTTCCAAAATATCATACATTGCTTTGCTGCTCAGAAATCTGGCCTCCAGAGAAGTGGACCCTGTTAATGGTGTGGACAGTGAACCAGTGCGGGGTTAAATCTGAGGTCTCAGCAGTTACATCACCACACACACTCAGACTAGCAGGGCCACAGGCTGACGGAGAGACGGAGTGTCTGTGGCTTCGTATGGTGGCAGAAGCTCGACCCCAGAGCATCTGAGTGACCACGCAGGAACCACAACTAACACACAAACACTGTAACAGGTACAGCAAGATACAAATATCATCTTTTTGGGTGACTGTGTCTCTTATATGATTTTAAATGTCTTAATGTAAAATTAACACAAAGTTTCTTGTATTACTGTAAAACCTGTCTGTCACCTGTCTGTAAAGCACTCTGAGCTGAAAAGTACTCTACAAAATAAACTAACAATCCACAACTACCAAACCATACTGAAAACCACCATCTAAATCAGCCAAAAATGACCAAAAACCACCATTTAAATCAGCCAAAAATGACCAAAAACCACCATTTAAATCAGCCAAAAATGACCAAAGACCACCATTTAAATCAGCCAAAATGACCAAAAACTACCACTCTAAATCTACCAAACCTTCCCCAAAAGCACCAACCCACAACTTCCCAACCATACTGAGAACAGAGTTAGCTGCAAACAGAGTTTCTGAATAGACAGCGTGTTTATTTTCTCTGGTTTAAGCAGACAGAGCAGGTAGTACCACAGTCACCTGCCTGTCTGTGCTGTGCTGAGAGGGTTACTGGAGAGAGCAGATACTGATTAAGAGGATCCTCAGTCTGTCAGTGTGAGGGTCAGCCTGCAGTCCGTATGTCGGCTCAGACACTGTGGTTTGTGTTTTTTATGACAGTATCGTCAGTCAGCAATCAGATGCACATGACATCACAAGCCCACCAGTTTCTCAAATACCCCATACCAACAATGGCCATTTCATCAGAAACACCAAACACACAGCTGCAGTCTGCAGGTTTACAGTTAAAGACTGAAGTCCATCTGAGGAGCGTCCTGTTAAAGCACAGCACTGCAGGACACGCTGACCGTCACAGAGAGCCTCTCTCACACTGATCTTCTGATGCCAGGCTGAGTCAGAGTTCAGCTGAGAGTGGAAAAAGAGCAAAAGCTGCACTGACCTCTCTGTTCTGACCAGGGGGTGGACGTGGCTGTAGATGCTCGGTCCCAGTCCTCTGTGCCCTAAAGTCTGCAAGCCTTCCTAAAATTGAGGAAAAACAAAAGACGTGTCATCAGTTATTCTATTTACAGTAATATAGTTGACGCAGCTGCTCTCTAATCCTAACCCTGACCCTGATCCTACCTCCTGACCTCCACCTCATGATCTCTTTACTGCACATATTTATATATATATATATATATATATATATATATATTTTTTATGTATGTATATATATATATATATATATATTATATATATATCGCCACACCGATATATCAGCTGGCTGATAATATCAGTCGATACTGACAACCTGTGGTTTTATGTGTGTTTTTTAACAATAGCACACCGTTAATTAGTGATTCCTTTTGGAACTCACATAGCTCCGCCCCCACTCTTATAATATTTATTATTTAAAACTGTGAGTTTCTGCTGATTATGTGAGTTTAGGAAGTGTGAACGTTGAGAACAGACCTTCATATCAGTGAGTAAAGCACTGTGTAACTAAACCGCTGAAGTATAAAACCAGTTCAAAATTTCAACTCCTTAAAATCTGCATTAATGTTTTCTGATATTGGTCAGGCAGACAGACAGACAGACAGACAGACAGATAGATAGATAGATAGATAAATACTTTGTTGATCCTGAAGGAAACTTAGCAATATAATTTAACTTACCTTAATATAATAAAGCAGTATAATTTACAATTTAAACTAACTTAATATCAACAAATCTATGGTTCCTCTCATCTTTTCAACCTTAAGCTCCACCTATTTATTACTAGAAAGCATGGAGGCCCACAAGAAAACACATTTTTTGGGAAATTTTCAACACAGCAATTTTCCACGTGGCTCAACATGCCACATATATCACTGAACATTGAATATCAACAGTTAACACACACAAGCTTGTCTTATTATTATAGATATTGTTGTTTTATGAGGTGGGATGGTGGCAAATTAAGCTAAATCTTTTTTTCTAGAGACAAATGGCAAAAAATAGATGAAGCTGCTTTGTGCACCATTGTTGCATGACTTACATTAATATTGACCACCAGACAGTGCTTAATGGCCCACCTGTGGTCCACGACCCCATAGTTGAGAAACCCTGTACTACACTAATGAACGCACTGCTGATGGTTGTGTTCTGTTTCTGATCCACTGTTTAGTTCAGTAGTTTGAGGTTTGGGTTTCTGAAGTACTGAAGTTCTCCAGGGAGCTCTGAGAGACTGAGATCTTCTCTGTAGGTCCTGAGTTTACAGTAGCTCACTGTGCTGTGTGTCCTACAGTAGACGCTCTGACATTTGAGGAGCATTCCAGTCATTCACTCCCTCACATACCGACGCCCAGAATGACCACAGCACACCAGCAGCGCTTCACACCTGGGGTCTCGTTTATCAGCCGTATGTACAGTTTCATGCATAAAGCCCACGTACACTCGTTTCTACACACAAACGTGACTTATCGTGCTTTTTTCTTCAGCGTGAAAATGTGTTTATATTTAGAACTACTGCTGATCAGCCTATGCAGAAACCCCCTAGTGGTAGAAAATTGTAATTGGTGGTAAATTGATCAAGATGCACAAACTCCCATTAATGATCAGCCAATCAGAGGCAGAGCTATGGAAGTAATATTGTGCCGAAAGTTTCAAATAAAAGAATAAAATCCACAAGCAAAATGTTAATTTATCAAAGTCTATAAAATAGGTTGCAAATGCAAAAACAACAGTTAAATCAAAATTATTTTTTCAAAAATATTACTACTCATTTTCACTCCTTTTGATGTAAATTTATTTCTCATTTTCTCAGTCTTTGCCTTATTTTTTCCTTTTGCTGCTTTTGCTGATAGATTTCAGAAGAAAAAGAATATTTCTTTTGCTTTAAACTTTTGGCACGTTTTCCCAGGGGGCGGGGCTTAGAAGAGGTACACTTGCAGTCTCTATTGATCAGCTGTGTTCAGAAGACCCAGTGAGTTGACCAATGGACAGTGCAAAGCAACTTTTCATCAATCCAAATCAAGGTTTACAGTGTAGATGAGGAGCAGACGGATCTATAGACTGTCTCTGATCATGTAGACGGTAGCTGATCACTTTTAGGGGGATTTCAGATGAGCTACTTTTAAACCCCTTTGAGAATTTACTGAGAATAATTATTTGAAATGTTTAACATGATTTTTGTTCATATTTGTTGGCGTTTAACTGCATGCAGTGTGAGCTGAACCAGCTGGCCTGCTGCCTCAGGATGAGATGGAAAGTCTGAAAGTGATCATAATCCTCTGTAAATTAAATCTGGGTTTCATTTTACACACAGAACAGTTCAGAGTGAGTGACGTTTACACATGCAGCTCTAGAGGTGGGCGATATGGCAAATATAATATTGTGATACTTCAAGAAATTTTCAAAATACATCATGATATTTATTTGTTCAGACATCTGATCAGTTTGAACAGAAAAAAATTAACCTACATTTTTAAAAATGCTATCAACAACTGTGAACACAATGATTTTTATGCAGTATTTGGCACTAAATCCAGTTAAACGGACTAATTTTACTCTTTATAATGAAACATGCAGTTGGTCAGCGTCTACAAGGACTGACGATAAACACGATATGTTCAGAAAAGCATATTGTATCGCATTGTGACAATGTATCACGATAATGATAATACATATTGCCCATTCCTAACTTTACTGACCCTCGCACTGTAGATTTAGCATAAATAAAAACAATAATCAGAATGAGGGATACATGATGATCGAAATCATTTCAGTTTACTTTAAAATAAAATCCAGATAGTTTACATCCAACACATCACAGTGTATTGATTACTTGTTTATATTTATTCTATTTTTAAACAGATACATTTTTAAGTAGATTTACACTCATTTTCTCAGATGCCTCTTGCACAGTACTGTATTACCTTAGATGTAAAACAAAAGGGCCCATAAACTAGTTTCTCATATTTCATATTTTTGCACTCATTTGTGCCAAAAACTCCATTTACATAATTTACATAACAAATATCTGACTTATGTAACAACAACAGTCATTATTCATTTCTGCATGATCATTTTTCAGCCTCTCTTTATCCCTTAGAATTAAACAGACTCTTTCTGTTACTGTGCCTTATTATATATATGTAAATGAGCTCTGTTCTGATTTGTTCTGTACTGTACTGTGGCTCAGTAGTCTGGGCTGAAACACTCCTTATAACTTCAGTGTAAATGGGTGGGGCTAAACTGCTGTAGCTGACTGGGTGGAGCTAAACTGGTGTAGGCTGAATGGGCGGAGCTAAACTGGTGTAGGCTGAATGGTGGAGCTAAACTGCTGTAGGCTGAATGGTGGGGCTAAACTGCTGTAGACTGAATGGGTGGAGCTAAACTGCTGTAGCTGACTGGGTGGAGCTAAACTGCTGTAGCTGACTGGGTGGAGCTAAACTGCTGTAGGCTGAATGGTGGGGCTAAACTGCTGTAGACTGAATGGGTGGAGCTAAACTGCTGTAGCTGACTGGGTGGGGCTAAACTGCTGTAGACTGAATGGTGGGGCTAAACTGCTGTAGACTGAATGGGTGGAGCTAAACTGCTGTAGCTGACTGGGTGGGGCTAAACTGCTGTAGCTGAATGGTGGAGCTAAACTGCTGTAGGCTGAATGGGTGGAGCTAAACTGCTGTAGGCTGAATGGGCGGAGCTAAACTGGTGTAGGCTGAATGGTGGAGCTAAACTGCTGTAGGCTGAATGGTGGGGCTAAACTGCTGTAGACTGAATGGGTGGAGCTAAACTGCTGTTGGCTGCATGGGCGGAGCTAAACTGGTGTAGGCTGAATGGTGGAGCTAAACTGCTGTAGCTGAATGGTGGAGCTAAACTGCTGTAGCTGAATGGGCGGGGCTAAACTGCTGTAAGCTGAATGGGCGGGGCTAGACTGTTGTAGACTGAATGGGCGGAGCTAAACTGCTGTTGGCTGGATGGGTGGGGCTAAACTGCTGTAGGCTGAATGGGTGGAGTTAAACTGCTGTTGGCTGAATGGGCGGAGCTAAACTGCTGTAGGCTGAATGGGTGGAGTTAAACTGCTGTTGGCTGAATGGGCGGAGCTAAACTGCTGTAGACTGAATGGGTGGAGCTAAACTGCTGTTGGCTGGATGGGCGGGGCTAAACTGCTGTAGCTGAATGGGTGGAGTTAAACTGCTGTAGCTGAATGGGTGGAGTTAAACTGCTGTAGCTGAATGGTGGAGTTAAACTGCTGTAGGCTGAATGGGTGGAGTTAAACTGCTGTTGGCTGAATGGGTGGAGTTAAACTGCTGTTGGCTGAATGGGCGGAGCTAAACTGCTGTAGGCTGAATGGGTGGAGCTAAACTGCTGTAGGCTGAATGGGTGGAGTTAAACTGCTGTTGGCTGAATGGGCGGAGTTAAACTGCTGTAGGCTGAATGGGTGGAGCTAAACTGCTGTAGGCTGAATGGGTGGAGTTAAACTGCTGTAGGCTGAATGGGTGGAGCTAAACTGCTGTAGGCTGAATGGGTGGAGTTAAACTGCTGTTGGCTGAATGGGCGGAGCTAAACTGCTGTAGGCTGAATGGGTGGAGTTAAACTGCTGTAGGCTGAATGGGTGGAGCTAAACTGCTGTAGGCTGAATGGGTGGAGTTAAACTGCTGTTGGCTGAATGGGCGGAGCTAAACTGCTGTAGGCTGAATGGTGGAGCTAGACTGCTGTAGCTGAATGGGCGGAGCTAGACTGCTGTAGCTGAATGGGCGGAGCTAGACTGCTGTAGCTGAATGGTGGAGCTAAACTACTGTAGCTGAATGGGCGGAGCTAGACTGCTGTAAGCTGAATGGGTGGGGCTAAACTGCTGTAAGCTGAATGGGTGGAGCTAAACTGCTGTAAGCTGAATGGGTGGGGCTAAACTGCTGTAGGCTGAATGGTGGACGTATGCAGATGTGCTGGTTTTTGTGATCACAGAAATAAATTCTAAGCTCTTTTTGCAGCTCAGTCTCCATATATGGACCAGAAAGTGAACTTTCAACATCAAACGTTTTTTATGTAACGATCTTTTA